AAGGCAAGTCCTGCTGCAAAACAGAGGGATGTCCCAACTTATCTTGGAGAAACAGCAGGCATGAGGCTACTGAGGTACGGCTGTGGGGCAGGGGGGTGATGGAGCGGTGACCGAGCTGAAAGCAGCCACTGCCAGGACATGGTGTCCTGCATGGGGCCAGGCTGCCCGGAGCTCCCAGCTCACATGCTGCCGGGAGCAAGTGACTGAGGAGTGGGGAGAAGGCAGCCCGGTGGGGACACATGGGTGGCTGAACCATCCTGAGCGATTGGCCCTGGGGCAGAGAGGCTGCTCAGAGGTGTGTGTTGGCATCCTGGGACCCCATGTCCCAGAAGGGTGCTGCATGCCCAGTTCCAAGCAATAAATGCTTCTCAGAGCTCTTTGTTTGTTCTTCATTATTCCTTAAACACAGGGGAGTTGAGATGCCAGCAGGGGATGTGCCATCCCCCCAGGCGGACAGGTGCTGGCGGGGGAGCGGGGCAGAGATAGGAGGCAGAGGGGTGCTGCAGGACCTGCCCTTACCTTTCCCCAGCCCGTGTTAACTCTCTTAAAATGTCAACCTTCATTTCATGGTTCTCGGTTTTATGGTTGCAGATAATCTTAACATAATTTCTGTGCCCTGGCAATCCGACCCTTTCCTGGGAAGGAGCCAGGTCACAGCCTGAAGGTGACTCGCTTCAGAGAGCGAGCACATGCCAGCAGCCCCAAGACATCTTCCCCCACTCAGAGGTCTGAAACCAGGTTTGCCCCTTCCCAAAAGACCCACTCGAGCTCAGCAGCCAGCCCTGGCTTTGGTGCAGTCAGTGGGTGACGTTCAAACCTGGGTTTTGCAGCACAGTCCCCTCTGGTCTCCAGAACTACGAGGGAAAGGTGGCCTGGCAAACCTCTACGTGACAGGGATCAAGCTGCACTGGAGGGAGGAGATTGCTATTGCTCTTAGATTTGCGATGCCAAGCCCAGAGAGCTGGGATTTACACTGTACGAGCAGCTTTGATGAGTTGTGTAGCAGGAGACACCATTTCACAGAAACTGCTTGTTGCAAAGAACTGGAACATGCGGAACTGGGAAAAAACCAGTTTCCTTGTGTTTCGTCTGTAGTATTGGTGTAGCTGGGTAAGCATCCTGACCTTTGAGTCCTTCTTAGGGAACAGAACAGCTCAGCAGCAGACCAAGTCCTGGCCGAAGTTGGTAAAACCATGCAAGAGTACCCTGTGGCTTTCAAAGCAGCTCGAATCCTTATGGGAGAGGAGGAGGGGGCTTATGGCTGGATAACCATCAACTACCTGCTGGACTCCTTCACCAAGGTGGGAGAATGGTGAAACACCCACTCCTTCTTTGCTGATAGAGTTTTTCTGATTTTTCTTAAGTTAGCTTAGCACAGAAGGAAAAGTTAATGGCTTTTGGGAATCATCTAGGGGAAGAAGCCAGTTGTCCTCTGGCTTTGCCACAGTGAAAGAGGAGGTAAAATCAGGAATGGGGGGTGTCCTTGTTAAGAGCTAAGGGCACATCTCCATACCATGTGGACATAGGTTCTCTTGGGGGCCATGCAGCCCAGTGGGGATGGTTTGCTCCAGCCAGGCTTTGCCTCGCTGCCCTGAGAAGGTCCATCTCTGTGTGGCATGCAAGGCCTCGGTCTTGGTTCAGTGCGCTGGTCTGAAGGAAACTCGACCTAAATGCCTTCCTGCTCCATCCCAGCACTGCCAGAGCTCAGCGCGGTGCGGGCACTGGAGGGCTCCTGTGCAGGCTGTCGGAGGGTTCTGCCCTTCCCCTTGCTCCAGTGCCTCTGCAGCCCGCTCTTCAGGAAGGGTGGCACATCCAAGCCAGGTCCCACCAGCACTTTGGTCTGGGGACTGGTGAGCCCATGCCCCGCTGGAACACCTTGACCATCAGGCAGTTCTATCTCTGTTTTTTCTGGCTCTGACAAATATCTGGGCTGGTTTGGCAGGGAAGGCAGTAGGGCCTCACGTACGGAAATAATGGAACTGAATACTCATTGAATTTAATTACATCAGTGGAATGAGAATTTTGCTTGGGGTAAGACCAGCCACGTACTACTCCTCTTCCTCTCCTGTCTCGCTTCGGCAGTACTCCCCCAAAGCACATACGTGGGTTCATCCAGAGGCAGCCAGCATCTTGGGGGCACTGGATCTTGGAGGAGCATCCACTCAAATCAGCTTTATGCCTGAAGGTTCAGTGACAAACTGGAGCGAAGCCTCCAAGTTCACACTGTACGGGTATAACTACAGCATCTACACACACAGCTACCTCTGCTACGGGCAGAACGAGATGCTGAAGCGACTGGCCAAGGAACTAATTTCGGTGAGAGGGGAACTGGGGGGTAACTGGGCTCTGCTCTCATGACACCAACCACAGACTTGTTAATGAATCAGGTAAGAACAGGCAATGCTCTTCCAGGGAGGCATCAGTAGGGATGGAGAGCAGGTACAGACTCCATGGAGCACAGGTAGGCTGTGGAGAGGGGCATGGGAAGCCTCAGAAGGGGCGGCTCAGGAGAGCTATACACAGCTGCCTGCACAGGGCACAAGCTGGAACGTGCAAGTTTCCAAACAGTTGAGGGGTAAAGTTTTTCCCTATAAGAATGGTCAAATATTGGAATAGGGCCCAGAAATGCTGTGAAGTCGCCATCCTTGCAGATATTCAGAACTTGACGGGACAAGGCTCTGAGCACCCTGATCTAGCTGGTCGTGCTTTAAGGAAGGCATTGGCACAGGTACCCCTATATCTGCCCTCAACTACTCGATGTCTGCATGGACCTGAGAAAAGTGAACCAGAGATTTTTCTGACGGCATTTTTTGGAAGGTCTGAGGGGAAGAGGTTCTTCACAGAGCTGCATCTTATCAGGAAGAGCAGCCTTGGTGAGCCAGAAGGGTTTGCCCGTGCTGCACAGCCAGGAGGTCCCAGGAGGTCCCCTGGCTGGGGCTGGAGCTAGACACAGGGCTAGAGCTTGGGTGAAGAGGGCTTTGAGTGCCCCAAACCACAATCCTGCTGGCCAGTGAGAGACGTACTGGGTCCCTGAAACTGGTCTGCCTCTGTGGGAGAGGGAATCATAGAATCACAGAATCATTTAGGTTGGAAATGACCTTTAAGATCATCAAGGCCAACCATTACCCTAACCCTGCCATCCCACCACTAAACCCTGGCCCTAATCTGCCTCTGTGGGAGAGGGAATCATAGAATCACAGAATCATTTAGGTTGGAAATGACCTTTAAGATCATCAAGGCCAACCATTACCCTAACCCTGCCATCCCACCACTAAACCCGGGCCCTAAGCCCCTCCTCTGCCTGGCTTTTAAATAGCCCCAGGGATGGGGACTCGACCCCTTCCCTGGGCAGCCCCTTCCAACGCCTGACAGCCCTTTCGGGGAAGGAATTTTTCCCAATGTCCAACCTAAACCTGCCCTGGCACCACTTGAGGCCATTTCGTCTTGTGCTATTGCTCATTACCAAGCAGAGTGAGAATTAGTGTTGAGCTCAGACTGGGACTGCAGATGGCCAACAAGACCAGGATTAAACAGCAGGAGGGTCTTTCCCTGTCGAGGAGGTGGGAGATGCCTTCGGCCATGGCTCTGGGGGAGCGCTGGGTGAACCCTGTTGCCCAGCATGCCTGCCAGGAGGGTTGCTGCAGCCTGCGATTTTGCTGTTCCCAGGAGTCATCCTCCAGCACACGAGTCGCTCACCCTTGCTACCCAAAAGACTACAGTGAAACCATCTCGCTGTCTTCCTTCCGCACCAGCCCCTGCACCAACCAGAGCGACCCACGCCTGACCCTTGTCGACAGGAATGTGACCCTGGAGGGCAGGGGCAATGCTAGTGGCTGCCTGGCTGCCATCAAGAAGCTGTTCAACTTCTCGGCGTGCGGCCAGCGCCAGGACTGCACCTTTGACGGCATCTACCAGCCCCCGGTCAGCGGGCAGTTCATTGTAAGGCAAATCCCAGCCTCCCACCCCTGCGGCAGAGCATGGCCCAGGTGCTGTGGTGTCCCCGTGTGCCCCATGGCCCTGTCACCTCCCAGCAGCAGAAGGGGTCAGGAAGCACCCAAATTCCCATTTCCCCAGGGCACAACAGGGACTGTTGCCATCTGGTTTTCCAACCAGCTCTCCAAGTGGGACCATGTTTGTAGAACAAGCGCTTGGTCAAAAACCAAGTTTTCAGTTAAAAAAATAAAAGCTCAGCCATCAGCCTCCAGGCAGGGCTCTGCCTGTGCTCGAAGTGCTGCTATAGCCAGCACGCACCTACACCCCCAGCCCGTCATCTCCACTGGGGACATGGACAGCGATGCCCTGGGACTACGCAGCAGTGGGACAAACCCGGTGAAAGACAAAGCCCGGCTCCTGCTTCGAGGGAGACGGGGGCAGCTCCCTGTAACTCAGTGTCATTTCTGCCTCTTGCCTTTCAGGCCTTCTCCGCCTTTTACTATAACTTCAAGTTTCTCAACCTGACCCGGGGGCAGCCACTGGCCGCTGTCAGGGAGACCATTGAGCATTTCTGCACAAGAAACTGGGAAGATGTACGTTCCCCAAGATGGGAGGCGGGGGAAGCTTCACAAGCAAAGGGGTCCTGGGGTGGGGGAAGAGGAGCGGTGACCCCTCCAGGGCAACGCTCCCCATTTTCTGAGCTGTGCCCTACGCAGTGGAGCCATCCCTGAGCTCTGTGAGGGAGCCAAGATCATCAGGCACCCACCCTTGGGGGCCCTCCTTGCTCATGCAGCCTTGGGAAAGGGGCAGCCAGGGCAGGTGAAGGCAGCAAAATCTCCCCAGCAGGGATGGAGTTGGGACTGGAGCCCTGGAGGGTGGTGAGAGGGGAGTGAGTGCTGGCACCGCTCTGCAGAGAAGTCAGATGGGGATGGGCAAGGTCATGTGATGTGGTAGGACCACCACGGAGCAGAGAGCAGGGGCCCTTCACATGAGGAGGCTGAGATGGGAGACTTGAGCAGGAGGAGCTCCAATACGTCTCTGTTGCTATGTGGAGGGTAAATCCTCCTCAAGTGAGTTGCCCTGTGTGGACAGGTCCAAAATACCGGCCTGGTCCAGGAGTCTTTTTCTGGATGCTGGTGGCTGTGGAGCCATTGCCCCTCGTGCAGCAGTAGTCATGGCATTGTCCCTGCATGGAAATTGCCTGCAAATAACTTCCCTTCCTCCCCAAACATGTCCCCACCCCAGCTGTCTTCTAGCTACCCCAAAGAGAATCCTGGGCGACTGTCTAAATACTGCGCCAACACCAACTACATCCTCACACTCCTCCTTGATGCCTACAAGTTCAATGAGACCAGCTGGAACAACATCTTCTTCCAGATGAAGGTAGGCAGCAAACCTAGCCTGCGGGCAGGAGTAGAGGCAGCGCTGGGGACAAGAGCCAGCTTCCCATGTCGGGGTGCCATGGGAGTCACAGTCAGAAAGGCCTGTCCGCCCCACATCCCAGCCTGGCACTGTGTGGGGGGCAGCACTGCACCCTGTTTGGGCTGTGCAGGAGTAGGTGGCCCTGCGTCATCCATGTGGCTTACCTGCAGGGCTAACTCATCATCCCCTCCCTCCTCGGACAGGTGGGGAGTGCCGATGTTGGCTGGATGCTGGGGTACATGCTGAACCTCACCAACATGATCCCAGCGGAGGCTCCGGCGTGGGTGAAGGGGCACGTCCCTTCCCTGTGGGCTGCAGCTGTCGTCTTCATCTTCCTCACCCTTGCCTTGGGGCTTGCCGCCCTGCTCCTGCTCTTGTGGGTGTAGGAGCCCAGCTGCATTTCAGAGCACAGCAGGAATACACTGGGGCTGGAGGGCTGCCTGCACTGTGGTGCCCTGCTCTTCCGCCAGCAGGACTGGCAGCCTGAGGCTCATTCAACGATGCTGAGCACATTAACCTCTACAGCACTGAAGGTCTGGCCTCCCACAGGACTGCCCCCAACATGCTGATAGGCACCACGTGAGGTTTCCAGAGGAGTTCCGCTCCTGTGGAGACCTGCTGGGATCAGCCTACGCCCCACAGGACCACCAGCCATGCCTATCTGCCTCCTTACACCTCTATGGCCAGATCTGGCCTCCATCCCACTGGCTGGCACGTAGGGCCATGGAGAGCCGGCCTGGCTGTGGAAGAGCTCTGCAAGTGCCAAACCATTAGTGCATGCCTGCAGGCACTTGATGCTAGGGTGCTTCATGCAATGCTGGGTCCGACCATGGCTGCCAACAGCCAGGTAGGTCCCTGCTGGGTCTGCCAGTGTGAGGCTCTGTGGCACTCCAGCTGGCTCTCCTGAGGCTGTATTGTCTGGGCTTATCTGATGGTCTTGGAGACAGAAGGCAAATTGAGCACCCAAAGTCAGAAGTGTGGCCCATGCCTCCCCAGAGGGTTCATCTCCTCATCATCCCATCTCATCTCATCTCATCTCATCTCATCTCATCTCATCTCATCTCATCTCATCTCATCTCATCTCTCTTTTCTTCTGGGATAGGCTGTCCCACCAGCAGAAGGCCTGGGCACCATGGGTGTCCGGCTGAGGCTCCAGCAGGCTGCGAGTCCTGCCCTGACCCTGCGCACGTGCCTGAGCTCACAGCTGTGCCCTTGCCTTTGCCTTTGGTTCTGCTCCTTCGTTATCTGCCCTGGGGGTGACACCTTGCTGTTTGCGTCCCAGCAGCAAGGCGCTGACCTTCGGTGTCCCTGCAGAAGGGCAGGAATCTTGCAGCTCTCATCATCCAAATAAACATTGTAAAAGTCAGCAAATGGGGAAAGGCGTATTCCTTTGCTCCTGAATGGTTATGATTTTATTGCCTCAGTCTTCCAGGTAAGGGCTGGTGATGACGGGGACTCAGGGGAGAGTCACCATCGCTCAGTGCTGCAGAAAATGCCCCTGGAGACCTCGCAGCATCTGCCTGACCTTGGAGAGGAGCCAGCAGGGCAGGAGGACAGGCCTTTGCCTTCTGAAAGCTGGGGTGTCTCACCTCACCCATCCACTGGCTGCCAGTGGGACTCCCCAAAAATGTAAGGGGGGGGCCTGGGAGCTGCCCCTGACACGTCCCAGCAGCATTCCCAAATCTCCCCGTGTGCTGGAAAGGGAGGGTGAGCTGTCTGCTTCGCACAGACACAGGGTGCAGACTGGAGAGGAACCTGGTCAGGAGAGCAGGGGGCTGCTGCCATCCCCCACCTCCCAGGGCTTCCCAGTCCTGGGCAGAGCCCCAGTCCTGTCTACCGGGCCAGCTTCCCCCCATAGCCCCATTGTCCCTGCCCCTCAGGCTGGCGAGGAATAGAAGAGAACAGAAGAGAACAGAGTAGAGTATTTTCCATTGGAAGGGACCTACAATGATCATCCTGTCCAGCTGCCTGACCAAAAGTTAAAGCATGTTATTAATGGCATTGTCCTCTTAAACACTGACAGGCTTGGGGCATTGACCACCACTCTAGGAAGCTTGTTCCAGGGTTTGACCACCCTCTTGGTGGCCATGGACGATGCAGGCTCTTGTCCCAAGATGGGGAAAGACACATCCACCCTACATTGGGTACCTGCTGCAGGCTGTTACCAGCCCCGCAATGATCCCATTGCTGCCAGACACCCCTCCTCTCTTCTCTGACCCACTGGTCCCAGCCACCCCACATCACTGTGGTCCCCATGCCCCCAGCGCTGAGCCCCTGCCCCACGTGGCCATCTCCTCTCCTAGAGCATCTCCAACCAGCAGCAAGGGGGAAGGAAAACCAGACAGCACACAGCTACAGGGAGGATTTTTTTAAAGCCTGTGCCAGTTTCAGCTGACCAGGCCAGGACACAGGTGCCCCGCATTGCAAGTTCACAGCTCCTGGACACATCTGCATCTCCTCACACAAGCGTGGCAGAAGGACCAAGTGGCT